ATCTCGGCTCACTGCAGCCTCTGCCTCCCAGGTTCAAGTGATTCTCCTGCCTTAGCCTCCTGAGTAGCAGGGACTTACAGGCACATGCCGCCACACCCGGCTAATTTTTGTATTTTTTAGTAGAGATGGGGTTTCACCATGTTTCCCAGGCTGGTCTTAGTACCCATTCTTTTCCAAGTCGACTTTAGCTGGGAATGTTATAAATATTTCTGAAAGTTTTATTGCTTTTCTGTTGAAGTATTTTCTGATTTAGCTTTTCTTTAACTGCAGAGCTTGGCACTACAGCAGTGTTTGTTTTGTGCTCTGGAAATTTGTAGTGTTGCCAATGAGTAAGAGACGGTTACATGAAACACAGAACAAAAGGCCATATAGTTCTCAATCTGACGAAAAATAGTAGGAATAGAGCTTATAGCTAATCACCAGAAGACATTGAAGTTTTCTACTGGGGTTCAGAAAGTCTTTATACATGGTTGTAATTTATATATAAAGCTGTTATGCTACCTAATCAGAATTTCAATAGTGAAAAGCTAGATATAGGAAGCTATCTGTGGTTCCAGTGTCATAAACTTGCACTTAGATATGGAAATGAAAACAGTATATAAAATTAACAGTTAAGACCCATTAGTAATACTGTAAACAAACGATTAGAAATTAAAATAGTGTTTGCTAATAGATTTAATCAGTAGAGACGATACAGAGATTTTAGTAAATTAGAAAGCAGTACTGAGGAGTTCTCCCTCCTAGTGAGACAAAGAAGGAAATATGAAAGAACATAAAGACATAGAGGATGAATTGAGAGCCTTCAACACACATCTGAAAAGAGTTCCAGGGGAAGAGAATGGAAGGGATAGTAAAGAATATTGGAACAGATAACTTAGATTTTTACTAATAAAAAATGTGAGTCCTTAACGTCAATACTGACTAATAAACAGGATAAATAATAGTAAATTCAAGCCGGGTGTGGTGGCTCATGCCTGTAATCCCAGCACTTTGGGAGGCTGAGGCGGGTGGATTACTTGAGGTCAGGAGTTTGAGACCAGCCTGGCCAACATGATGAAACCCCATCTCTACTAAAAATACAAAAAAACTAGCCGAACATGGTGGTGCACATCTCTAATCCCTCCTAGTTGGGAGGCTGAGGCAGGAGAATTGCTTGAACCCAGGAGGCGGAGGTTGTAGTGAGCGTAAATTGTACCACTGCACTCCAGCCTGGGCAACAGAGTGAGACTTCATCTCAAAAAACAAAACAAAACAAAAAATAGTAAATTCATACCATGGTACATCTTTTATATGATAGAACATCAAGAATCAAAAGAAAATGTGAAAAGCTACCAGAGAAAAGAAACAATTACAAGAGATACTTTGCAAGCACCATAGATGCCAGAAGACAATGAAATAAGATCTCCAAAGTGCATAGAAAAAATAATTGTCAACCTAAAATTTTATATGCTGCTAAATTATTTAAGAGTGAGGGCAAAATAGATATTTTAGGCATATAAAAACTAAGCACTTAGCCATCTATGTAATCACTAAAAGTACTGCTAGTAGGCCAGCTGTGGTGGCTCACGCCTGTAATCCTAGCACTTTGGGAGGCGGAGGCGGGCGGATTGCTTGAGTTCATGAGTTTGAGAACAGCCTGGGCAACACGGTGAAGCCGTGTGTCTACTAAAATACGA